AGCAGGAGTCTCAGTGCAGCCGCGGGAGGCTCGGGGCTTCAACAGGGAAACCCAGAAGCAGTACGCTCCCGGTGCAGACGCCCCGCTCAGCCCCGGACGGGCTGCCTCCCAGGCAAAGTCAGGCAGGAGGGGACAGGCCTCCACGCAGGTTCTGGAAGAGAGAGGAGGAGGTTTTCCTGGACCCGTCGAGGGTCCTCGGCTCCAAAAGGTAAACTGATGAAGACAGACAACAGGAGCAAAGCAGCACCTTTATTTAATCTGAGTTTCACGGGACACGTAAGGGGGTGAAGCCTGCAGACGTGGGTAGACCGGCCGCCTTCTGCTGGGTTGGTGGGGAGGGCCGGGGGCGTGGGGACCCGAGGTGGGTCTGCAGCAAACCGGGTACAGGGTGGGCACAGCTCCCACGAGGGTCTTGGGCCTGCTTCGGGGAGAAAGGGGGTGGACAAGGTTGGAGACACCTTCGGCCAAGGTGTCGTGTTTGGGGCAGTGTGTCCTGCACCCACCACTCATGCCGTGGGATGTCAGACCTGGTCCTTCAAAGAGCCCTGGGCTTCCAGAGCTCTGCTCTACGGGGGCGGGAGGCCGCGGGGCCCCAGCAAACCGCCGTCCACATGCTGGTTTAACCCACTGAGCTTCCCTTGCTCAGTCACTGTTTGGGGTCCTGGGTAGGATTTTGTCCAAAGAAAGGATTTTTGTGGCCAAGACTGTGTCGATCCCCAGAGCCCCTTGAGAGTCTATGAATCCATGGTCGTGCTCCTGCCCCCACAAGTCAGTGTGACTTTGTCGTGCGATGTGTGTGTTGGCGGGTGTGTGTGCCTGACAGCCATCCCATGAGGCCGAGCGGGTGGGACGGGGGTCCGTGATGGATGTCTGAGAAAATGGCTCGTTTCCTCTGCAAACCCCACTTGGTCATCGCCTGTCTGCTGGAAGGGATGCTGCTGCTTTAATGAGCGTTATCAAAACCTGAGCCCAGTGGTTTAGGGATTTCTGAGAGCAACTGGGCATCACACGTCAGTGGGCCGAGAAATGCAGGCGGGGATGGCCTGAGTCACGGGGACCCTCGGGGGAGCGAGTGTCCAGCCGAGTCCCCGGAGACCCGACCACGGGTCTGGATGGACTCGGGGGAAGACGTGCTGTCGAGGGTCCTTTGCCAAGGCGTGGAGAAGGCACGGAGTGACCCCGCCCCCAGCGAAGACGGTGGGACGCGGCTCCACGTGAACCTCAGGTTGAGAGGAAGCTGTCACCCCCCACGTGTCGCTTTGCACGCGTGGACGGAGCCGGCACCTGCCTTTAGCACGCTTAGTAAACACCAGCAGGTGTGCAGTCGGGACTCACAGGCGATGGGGCACTTGGCTTGCGGGAGCGCGT